GTAAGGTCTGCGTACATATTACCCTCCCCAGACCCCACTTGTGGAATTATACTGGGTCGTCGTCGTTGTTGTTGTTGTTGTTACATTAATTTCATAGGTATTTGAAGATTTGTGCTAATGCTATTTGAAATATTGTTTTAGTTAAGTGAAGTGAAGTGAAATATTTGAAAATATTATTTCTATTTTAGTATTAATATAAGGAGTGTGATTAATCATATTAAAAATGTTATTTTGCTTGGCATTGTTGCTTTGTAGGAAGTTCTGTTGATGTGAATTGAGATGGACATATTTTTGACGAGGTTTAATTCATCTCCATCAAGTTCTAGTTTTAGAGACAATTTCTCCCATCTTGTAGAGGAGTTTGACGTGAAATCACTTAATACTGACCCCGGAGAGAGAATATCCATTAGATATAGCTCTAGAATACAGGATGAAATGAGAAGACACTACATCCAAAGAGGGCCTTGCCAACCAATTGATCACAAATTTCCTAAAGCTTTATTTGGGAAGAAAATGCGCCAATTTAGTCCGGGTTGGTTTAAAGGTTCGCATTCTAGATGGTTAGAGTATAGTGTGAAGAAAGATGCCGCATTTTGTTTATGTTGTTATTTATTCAAAAATGATTACGTTCATGGAAGCACAAGTGACTCTTTCACAAAAACCGGCTTTAAGGCTTGGAATAAAGGAATCGAAAGACTTGGTCTACATGTTGGTGAAGTAAATAATCTCCACCATAAGTGTTTCAACAATATGCTAGACTTGTCAAATCAATCTCAATCAATTCAAGCTGATTTTGAAAAGCAATCTGATCAACAAAAAACTGAATATCTAATTCGTTTAAATGTCTCAATCGATGTTGCAAGGTTTCTTTTGAACTTTGGATTGTCTTTTCGTGGTCACGATGAAAGTGAATCATCAACAAACAAAGGCCTTTTTCTAGGGCTTTTGGAATGGCTTGGAAATAGTCTTCCAGATATAGATAGAATTATATTAAAACATGCTCCAAAAAATGATATGATGACTTCGCCAAAAATTCAAAAGGATATTGTGAGTGCTTGTGCACAAGAGACCGTGAAAGCTATAATTGATGACTTGGATGGAGATTATTTTGGGATATTAGTTGATGAGTCCAAGGATATTTCACATCATGAACAAATGACCCTCACTTTGCGGTATATTGACAAAAAAGGCCAAGTGAACGAGCCATTTATTAGCCTTGTTCGTGTTAGTGATACATCTGCAAAGTTGTTGAAAGAAGCAGTACTTTCTTTGCTAATAAAACACTCATTAAGTCCATCCAAAATACGTGGACAAGGCTATGATGGGGCTAGTGATATGCAGGGAAAGATGAATGGTCTTAAAGCTTTAATTTTGCAAGAAACTCCATCGGCATATTCAGCTCATTGTTTTGCACATCAATTACAGTTGACGCTTGTAGCTGTTGCTAAAAAACACAAGGAGTTAGAGACTTTCTTTGCTATAGTTACTAACGTGTTGAATGTAATTGGAGTTTCTTTTAAGCGTAGAGATCAACTTCGGGATCATCAAACAGAATTGTTGGAGCAATTGTTGGAGAGTGGTGAAGTTCAAAGTGGAAAAGGATTAAATCAAGAGCGAGGATTTCAAAGGCCAGGTGACACTCGTTGGGGATCACATTGTAAAATATTAGATAACTTTGTTATTTTATTTTCTTCTATTGTTCATGTGTTTGGGGTGATTGAATGTGACAGTGATGTTAATGATAAGTTGCAAGACGAAACTTTTTTCAGTAAAATTAAAGTATTTGAATTTGTTTTCTTGCTTCACTTAATGTTGAAAGTGTTGATAATGTCAAACGAGTTGAGCAAAGCTTTACAGAAGAAAGATCAAGATATTGTCAATGCCATGATATTTCTTGATATCACAAAGGAATGGTTGCAAGAAATGAGAGATAAAGGATGTGAACCATTGATGGATGAAGTATATTTATTTTGTGCAAAACATGATATTTTGGTGCCTAAGATGGAAGAATTCTATATTCCTGGAAAGTCGAAGCGTAGGCTTCTAGTGTTACTTATTCACATCACTTACGTGTTGAACTTTTTTATATCGTGATTGATTTGCAACTTCTGGAGCTTAATAGTTGTTTTGATGTTGTGAGTAGTAACCTGCTTCTTGGTATGGCTAGCTTGAATCCGATTAATTCATTTGCTAATTTTGATAAGGAAAGAATAATAACATTGGCCAAGCATTATCCCGATGAGTTTGGTGAATTGAAGCTTCGAGATCTTAGTCGCCAACTTGACACTTTCATATGGAACATGCAACATGGTGACCCTAGGTTCTCTGATTTGAAAGGAATTGGTGATTTGACAAAAGCATTGGTTGAGGCAAATCTTGTGGATACTTATTCACTTGTTTATTTGCTTGTGAAGTTGACTTTAATTTTACCTGTCGCAACTGCAACGGTGGAAAGAGCACTCTCATCCATGAAGTACATCAAAGATGAATTGTGTAGTAGTATTAGTGATGCATTTTTAAATAATTGTTTAGTCTGTTACTTTGAGAAGGAAGTATTTGTAAATATAAGCAATGATGCTATTATTGACCGTTTTCAAAACATGAAAGCGCGTCGAGTTCAACTATAAGTGGACAATGTACTTTTGTTATATTAGTATCAAGTTAATGGTATTTGATAATATTGATGTTTTTATTTTGATGATAAATTATCATAGTCATTTCAAAGAGTTACACCCGAACTTTATCGCTGGTGATTGACATACTAAAGATAATGGTGCCCCCGTTATGCTTAAATCCTGAGTTCGCCTCTGACTACCACCACCAAGCCGCCACCATTATTGACAACTACCACCTACCATCCCCACTATTCCCGCCACTATTATTTTCAACCACAACCACAAACTCATCAACCTCAACTACCACAACTAACCAACCCATCACCATTAACAACATAGCCCGATACTGCCCACCATTATAAACTACCACCACCTTCCTCAATCACAACTACCATCACCACCCACTATTATTAATTATTACCACCCATGACCCACCATCACCATCCTCAACCATAATCGCCATCATTATCAATTACCACTAGCTACTATACAGAACCACCACCATCAATCAAAACTACCACCAGTCGCTTCTAGTCGGCATTCACAAGCACCACTGTTAGTCATTACCATCATTAACTGTCATAATTTAATATATATATATATATATATATATATATATTATTGACAGAATATTAGATTAATTAGTATTTTATTTGAATTTATGTTTATTGATTTTCAAATCAAAATAAATTTTATATATTCAGATGTTAAAAACACAAACAATTTTAATCAAGTAGTATTCAAATCTTAGTACACATCTTAATATTCAAATGTGTATTCAGCAAGGGCGGCTAGAGGGTAAAACCACTAAAGCGGTATTTTTAGGCCCCATAATTTTGGGGGCCCCAATTTTTGTTTCCCAATTCTTATTTGATGTCCAATATTTAATTTGGGACAATGATTAATTCAAATTCATACCGTGTAAAATCCATTAAAGTGGGAACTGTTCCTTATAAGAGATCTTTTTCTGAAACCGAATATTTCCGATTAAAGAAGGAGATATGCTATCCATCCCACAACAACTCTTCTCGTGAGGCCCCAAATCTTTTGAAGAAAATATTAAGTATTTCAAAGTAGAAAAGTAAAATATTTTATATAAAAAAGGATTACATTAATCATTAGAAAATATATAATACACTTTTAAACTCTATTTTTTTCCTCAGGTTTTCATCATTGCAACGAGTATATTGAAACCTCAAAAAGTTCTTTTAGTACAAAGTTATCAACTTCTTGAATCATGTTCTATTATTTAAGATCATACTGCACATGAGAGACTAAATGGTTTTATGCGAAAAATTTCAAATAATTTTATTCTCAAAAAACTAGAAAAATCTACTTCAACTAAAAATATATATGATTGTTTTAAAAGGGCCTCACATCAAAGTTTGACTTTAGGCCACCAAGCTTATTGAGCAGCCCCTGGGATTCAGATTCAGATGTCTTAATCTTAATGCACATATTCAGATGTGTATTTAAATTCATACGTCTTAATCTTTAAAAAAAAATAAAACATATGAGTGCGTAGTTGTTTATGGGTGCGAATGTGTGCAATGACTGATTAGAAGGAGCACGTCAATTGTCCCAATTTATGTAATAGTATTTTGGCACAGAGTTTATAAAAGAATGTACTTTTAAAATTTGTGGTGAAAAATAAGCTATTGATATTTGTGTGATTATAAATTATTTTATTAAGCGTAAACAAATATTTTAGTGTTAAATTTTTACTAAATATAGAATGATAGTATTCTTTTTTGTATTGACTGAAAAGGTAAAGTATCACATGAACTGGGACGGTGATAGATTTATATTTTAGAGGTTCCACGGGTAGTAATACATCCTAATTACACCCGTTTGACAGGAGATGATTTATATATATAAACTAACCGTTACAAAGTCCCTACTTCAAGACATATTTTTACGGGAGCACGTTAAGACAAATGGAAAATTAGTGTAATATAAGAAGAAAGGTTTTGTAAAGAGACGGTTTGCGGGAATTTGCATACAAGCCCCACCCATAACATATTACAACAACAATAATATATTTCGTGTATTCCTATATTGTGAGATCGGTAAAAAGTAAAAGATTATTTTTAAAAGACCCTCATCTCAAAAATAAATTCAACATATTTGAATAGAAGAACAGTAATGAAGAGGTAAGCGGCGTAAGCCCCAGCCATGACATGAATCTATAAATGTTTATGAGATGAAAAGGACCATGTCCATTTGCAAAGGTTTATTGGAGATTTGACACAACTACCTAATGTTAGGATGCATGATGGAGAATGTGTGCCTTTTCTTATTCCAATTCATACTCATTTAATTTTTAACTAAAGTTCTCTTTATGTTGCAATTGATCAGTCCAAATTGTAACTAGCATATTGTACTTTCAAAGATTCTTTTTTTTTTCTTTCCTAAATTCACAAAAGACAGAATTAACTTGGGAACTAGCATGAAATAAATTAATTATTAACAGAAGAAAGTGGAAAAACCTGGTGAAGACATAGTTAAGTAATAGAAGTGCGATCTCTATAACAACTTAAGTTCTTAGATGAGATGGTCACACACTTCAACCAAAGCAAGTCTGGAGCCTAATAAGCTTTCTTGGAGAAAGTTCTTATCAATAATCCAACTTCATCTAATCATCCGTATTATATATTAATAATTATTTATCTTAAATAATTGGAAATCCTATCAAACACTAGCATAAACTAATTAAAGGATTTCCAATTCAAATCAAAGCTATCTATGTTTTTTCATTTCTTCATACATCTCCTCCCACTTCTTTCTTTCCATCAACTTCTCCACCATTCTTCTCTTTAGCCCTTTTCTTCCAAAACATCAAATGTAGACCTCTTCTCTCCAAAATCTTCTCAATTTCCTCAATTGGAAGTCCCTTAGTTTCTGGAACACAAATCAGGACAAAAAATAGGGCTATAACAGAGAGAACTCCAAATACAAGAAATGTCCATGATGTTCCAATAGCATGTGTCAATGACAAGAAAGATTGTGCTACAATGAGATTTGAAATCCAGTTTGCTGTTGCAGCTATTCCTCCACAAACTCCTCTGAATCTTAAAGGGTATATCTCCGAGTTAACGATCCATGGAACGGTACCCATTCCCGGAGAAAAAAATATGATGTATAGCGCTAGCCCGAGTAGGGCTAGCCATCCATATCTACTAGGGCATCCTCTTGTGTACCATAACCTATCTTGATCATGACAAGCATCCTTAATAGTATCATTTGAGATGAGACATGCCCCAGGTAGCAACTACAACAAAGAAAAAAAATATTAAACATACCTTTGATAGATATATACTTGCAATATTATATTAGTATTGAATATCAAGATAGTATAGACATTCCGTTTATGGCTATTATATAATGTCATAACACGTTATCAAAGAGAACATAGGAGAGTGTTGGGCTCGATCTTAAAGCATGGTAAGATGCATTACTTATCACTTTCATGTAGGCATAAAAGAAAAATATAATGGCTGTTGAAACAAAAATTTGCTCCCTTCAATCTCAAATATTTAGTCGTTTTGGCAAATTGAATTTGTTTGAAAATGTTTGAAGTTTTAGAAAAACAAGAAGCATTTATTATTTTCTCTCCAAAATATAGTGTTAACTAAATGAGACCATTAAAAGACAGATAAAGGGTATTTCATATAAATACTCTAATGATTAAGGCTATTGAATATTTGGGATTTTTACACAAATAGCCAGTTGGATTCATTGTTTTCTTTTCGTAACCGGTATACATAGATTATACATTGATCATACACGACTATAAACATATTATACATGAATTATACATATATTATACGTCCATCGACTATATTTAGATTAAACGGTCAAGTGAGCGGCTATTTAGGTTAATTCTTCAATATCTTCTTAGGAGGTGTGCCAAAAAAACCTTAAAACAGAGATAATATGAAGCATATAAGATGTCATTATTACCTTATTTTGAGGTGAAGCACAAAAGCCACAATCAGGAGAAGCTTTAAGGCACCTAGTACAATCCCAGGAAGTAGCAGAACCAGCATTATGGTAAGCAGGACAAGTAAATGATGCTGCAAAATGAGATGTCTCAGCCATACTAACTGCTGGTGAAGTTGAAGTAGCCTCATAGAAAACTGCTGACAAAAACCCTAGAGAAATCATAACACCAAACAAGCTAATCACAAGAAGTTTCTTCCTCCCAGTCCTGTCTATGAAATATATACTAATAATCGAGCCAAAAGCGTTTAGCCCGGCTGTGACAAGCGATAGAAGGAGAGCTGTCCGGTTCGAGGCAATTCCAGCTAGTTGAATGATACTAGGACTGTAATACATAACAGTGTTTATTCCAACAAATTGCTGGAAAATTTGAAGACCAACTCCAGCTATTAGTCCACGACGAACTGTTTTCGTCTGGCATAACTTGAAGAGATTGATACCCTCAGATGCTTTGTTTTCTTCAATTTCTTTGTCTACTGATTCTTTAAGAGCTTGAATTTCAACTTCAACTTGCTCAGGTGAATATATCTTCCTTAGTATTGCTTTGGCTTCCTCTTGCCTCCCCTGTTTTTTCCAAGAAAACATTTGCAATTACTGCATTATTGTATTGAATGTGAAATACAATCAAACCTCTCTATAACAATATCGTTTGTTCCGAAATTTTTTGGTTGTTATAGTGAAGTGTTTCTATAGAGAACTTATATTATGACATAATATTCAAAGAAAACGTGGCCATTATAGTGAAGTATTATAGAGGATGATCGTTATAGAAAGGTTTGGCTCTATCATAATTGGTGGAAACAATATCTTGTTTTGTTCATAGAAGAAAGAATTAAATGAGAGTTTAACTTATGTTTACTGACGGTATACAATAGTTTTACACCATCAGGTTAAGATTACCTCCAACAACTTATTTGTCGCACTAAATAACTTTCTATAACAAGTTAAATATGCTGGTAGTGTAAAATTCTTTATATTGTTAGTATATATAAGTTAAATGCATGAAATTA